AGCCGGGAATTCATTCTCAAATACATTATATATTTGCACGGTAACCGGTTTGAATTTTTTCATATTTTTGTGTGGATTAATCAATATCAAAATGACTAGAGAAAAAGAATAAAGAGAACTTAGGAATAGCAATTATTGGAATTTCGTCTAAATAGTTACAATAGAAAATTCGTACCCTATCTTTGTAATTATTTTTTCTACTAACTTCTAATCAATATTTCCTCAAAATTATATATATATATATATATCTATATCTATATATATATATATATATATCTATATATATATATATATATATATATATATATATATATATATATATATATACATAATATATATGTATTTTAACATGCTGAAAGTTCAGAAGCCACTGTAAAAATCCATCCAACCATCTATAAAAGTCTACTGCTGAACATGTCTTCCCCATAGATTGCTTCAGTGGGAGGACCCGGCCATAGTTGCCACGCTTGGCGGATGGGTTCGCAACCTCAGTTTTTTATTGTTTTAAGTTGTTATCCGGAAGATGCTGATGCCCGTCACCCGTTTCAATTCTCCTCTGTCGACTCTTGCGACACCCACGGAACGATATAGGGTAGTATCTCAGTCCTGAGGAATTGGCTGCCACAGCTTCAGTCGGTAGCAGTAATCAACAAATGCTGCATTATCTTTTTTATGTTATTTTTTATTTCTTATTTTTTTTTACTGTATTTTTCTGATTCACAATAACAGCTCACTTATATAATGTATATATATTTCAATCTTATAAATTGTATAATACTTACTTAGTACGGTATTTATCACGTAATTGTAAATTAATTAGTGTACCTTTTAACATACATAAATACAAAAATTCAACACATACACTCATACAATATAGCATTCATGAACTACTGCATCAATACAAACATCTACCTATCTTCAATATTACACTTTTAATACTTTGTTACAAAAAAAACTGAACAGAACAAACAAATGCAAACATCGTTACACGATAAACAGGTTCTTCATTCTCGGGTTAACCTTACCATTAACAGATATTACTGTTTACTCACATCTTTTATCACGAGTGACTTTATATATGAAAGTAATAATATTTATATATCCCTTTTTTACAATTTATGGTCCAAGCGGCCACCATAGACGTAGAAGAGGATATTAGTAAAACATTTACTATATAACATGTCACTCAATTCCTGATCTGGAACTCTGTGCAAACACATTACAGTCTTATTCTAACTTCACATTATTAGGCTGTAACATAAGAAGAATTTTAATGACTTCTTAGTGGTTCTCTCGAGACTTAATGTAGAATTTGATGTTATTATTCTGAGTGTTTTTTGAATGAAGGAGCAGTCATAACACAAATTTCAGGCTACAAATCGTTTCACACTAATAAATTTATAAATAAAACGGTGTCGTTACGTACATAAAAGATGTATGGAATGTTTTTGTATCGGAACCTACATTGAATGATGCAAATTGTCTGCAAATAACAATAGAAAATACACTTACACTTCTTGGGATTTATCGATCTCCTTCGTTCAAAAATCCGGACCGTTTTATACAATCACTTGATTCTGCAATTCACTCTTACACTAAAGTTTCTATTCCTATTATTGTAGCTGATCACAGTAACATAAACCAGTTATCTGACGAATAAGACTCTCACTATGACTATCTGTTAGGGTGGAGTGTTTTTTTTTTACATTTTAGATACGGCGGAGTGCGGAAACGGTGCCCTGTACTGATACATTCAGAATATATCAGGACAGCAAACATGAATTTTGACTGGAAGTACTGCCGCATGGCCATTGAAAATTTCAAAAATCCTGAAAATAAGGGATTTTGGTAAATGTGAAACAGGTACAAAAAGTTGAGAAAATCGTATGTTTTATTAAATAATTTAACATTTTGCATTATAGAGAGTGAAAAAAATACAAAAAATAACGTAGTTTCCATTAAAATAAAAATAAAAACATCTAAAATTATTAATTTTTCGCCGTTTGGTGAGCTATGACAGAGGATACGAACTCTTTTTTTGTGTTGAAGACCGGCATGATATTGCACGATTTTAACTTGTTTCGGATCCATCCTTCACGTTTATCTGGTCCACACACAGCTGCACATGACTCAGTGACCAGCTTAATGCATTTTTCAGTAGCTTGTGAGTGGCATGGCATTTTGCGAAATGTAGGGAGAATCTCCGTTTCGACTATTTCGATATTCCGAATAGCTCTATAAATTACGTTGGTTTGTATCTGTTTGATCAGAGGAGGCTCCGATACAAAGCTCCAATCAATCAAATCTGTATACTCAGCGGCAGAGAAGTTAAATTATGGTAATTTAAACACTCGTATCGGCGCCAAGCCTTTTTTTTTTTTTGCGGATGGAAAATCATCTAATGACCCCTTTCGCTCTGGGTGGAGCGTAAGGGAGTGTCAGACTTTTACTGACTAAAAACCATCTGTGTTCCTTCAGTGCCCTTACGTTCCGGAGCCGCGGTATCTCTTTCGAACAGCCCGCAGCCCCGGCAGTCGTCGGCCCTTGCGGGCCTCTTCACGCTGTTGACAGCTCTTTGAGGCGCGCGTGGAACAAAACGCGCCGTCGACACGGCCTGTCGTCATTAGACGGACGGACGACGAGCTACCCATTGCTCGTCGTCCACAGGCCCGCGCCTACGGTGGCCGGGGGCCACGACGTAGCCCCCGACGCCCGGGGCGTCTCCCGCGGCGGCCGGGGAGGAAAGCTGCTGCTCTCTCCTTCTCCCGCTCCGCCACCTCCTTCGCAGGCATCACTGCTTCGCAGAAGGTGGTGACGGCATCCCATTCCGTCTCGCTCCGGACCATGGCTTCGACCAGGGCCGGACGCGAGAGGTCGCCGCCGCCTATCGCCGCTACGAGGACCCGGCTGTGCTCCGCCCAAGCAGGGCACACCTCCACGGTGTGTTCCACCGTATCCTCCGGTCCATCCTCGCAGTGGGAGCACCCGGGCGTTTCCTCCCGCCCGATTCGGTGCAGGAACCTCCCAAACACACCGTGTCCGGTGAGGACCTGCGTCAGGCGGAAGGTGAGGATGCCGTGGCGTCTCTCAAGCCACTCCTCAAAGAGGGGTCTTATCGCCGTGCTGAGCACGCCGCTATAGTGGCGTGCCCAGCACGGGGTTGCGACAGTCGCTGTCTCCATGTCGCCATGAGATCGTGCCGGAAGTCTGTCCGCTGCGCGACAACTTGCCGCGGCAGCGGGGTTTCCCCACGGTATAGTGCCTCCGCACGCCATTCGTGCAGGCGCGCGAGGACTATCACCTCCAGATCCCATGGCGGCAATCCGGCAAGGTGGCTCGCCCCCCTCGCGGGAGATCGTGCGGTAGCCGCGAACCATTTTCACGGCTATCACCCTTTGGGGCGCGTTCAGGTGGTGGACGGCAAGCCGCGCCAAACCACGCGCCCACACCGGGGCCCCGTAAAGGGCCATGGACCGCACGATCCCCGCGTAGAGCCTCCGGCAGGAGGCGTTTGGCCCTCCCAGGTTCGGCAGGAGCCGCCTGAAGGCAGCCCCGGTCCGTTCCAGTTTGGGAGCCAAACTTCGGAAGTGCTCAACGAAGTTCCATCGGCCGTCGAGGACGAGTCCTAGGTACTTCAGCGTCGACTCGACGTCAATGGATACCCCTCCTACCATCACTGAGGATCCCGGTGGTGGCCTGTTCCGAGGACCATGGAAGTGCATGGCCTCGGACTTGTGCAGAGCCACCTCGAGACCCAGTTGCCGAATCCTCTCAACGACTATCGCAACCCCGCGTGTCATATTTTCCGCCGCCGCCTCGTACGACCCCCCTTGTGCCAGTAACAGCGTGTCGTCAGCGTAGCAAACTACGCTGACGCCGGTAGGGAGGTCGGCGCGCAGCACCCAGTCGTAATCGATGTTCCACAGAGGTGGCCCCAGAACCGAACCCTGTGGGACACCGCACGACATCTCTCGCCGGTTCCACTCACCGTTGCGACCGGGGTAGATGACGGCCTTGTCCGTCAAGTAGTCCCCGACTATACGACGGAGATAGGTCGGCACCCGGTGATACCGGAGTGCCTCCATAATGCAGCTCCAGGGCATGGAGTTGAAGGCGTTGGCGATGTCGAGAGACATCGGCGCCAAGCCTGAAGTCTGCTTTCGTATTTTAACAATGCGCGGAGTGCTAATTATTTGATATGGTTGCGATTATCTGCAAGCATACTAAGCAAAATGTTTTCGCTGTGGCCGAAGTACCCATTGCGTTGAGGCACAGGGTCAACTATTTTCAAAAGGTTTGCAGGAAGGTATCTCGATAATGTAATCATTTTGTGCAGGTGTTACGATCCGTACACGCAAAATGGTTTTGTTTTAATTTCAAACCATATCGGAGCATACACTCCGATGACGAAGTCTGCTAAGATACGCAAATTATATGAAGGTTCACTAGTGGAAACATATAGTCGAAATATCCTGTTAGCTGTTGTCAGCTACCGTGAATGAACAATCTTTCCGGGGTTTCGCTTGGCTAAACTTACGTCACATTCTCCTCTGCTAACTGCGTCACATATTTCATACAAGTAAAGCTGATCTCTGTACTGAGATCAATAGGTAATTTTGAAATATCTGGTAGTTTACATGCGATGGGTGTAAAATGAACCACTGGAAGATTATCACAACCCTTCAACGCTTTACCAATGACGCCTGTGAGAAACTTCTTGGTCCTGTAGTTTTCCCATCAAGATGCTCAAACAGATGTCGTAAAGGAAGTTCGTTGGTGTACATTAGACACACGAGCCATTCAAGAGGGCGATGAAGTTTCTTTTCTAGAAGATAAATGATTCCAGCCTTGTTACCGGTGTTGACTGCCGTACCGTTGCACCCAATTGCTATTATTCGCTTCAAATCACACTTCAACGCCAAATAAAGGTAAAGTTTTTTTGAAATTGTGAGTGCATCTGCTGTGGCCAGTGTAATGTGCCCGATGTATTGCGAGTTCGGCTATTTTACCAAGGTTATGTGCTCTTCAACAACGGGTTTTCTGCGATTATCTTCATACAATATTGTTTTATCTTTGCGGCCATCAAACGATATACAAACCAATGAATTATCGCCATCTAGCACGTTAACTGCAGCCCCTGAATTTCTCGTTTGTGCGCGAGCGCGCAGAATTTTGCTACGGTCGATAACACTTGACGTGTCACTCTCAGTAACCAGACCGATATCTTGCAACGTAGTCGACACGATGGCAGCACCAGCACGGTCTGAAATGCCGTATCTATCTAATGTCATAGCTACCACTGGGAATTTACTAGGTCCGGGGATATTAATTGCGGGCACAATCGAGGTGACATTAATAACAGACGAAGTTTTTGTTTTGTTTCTTTTCTGCTCAGGTTCATGAATTTGTAATGACATAGAGTTCTCTTTAAATTGTTTTCTTTTTAACTTCCGATCAGACAAAGCCATATTCTTAAGTGTAGCTTTTTTATTTAGAGATCCAATCATCATTCTTCTTTCGCCACGTTGATCGAGCAAAAACTCGTGTTCTTGTTTAGGAATTTTACGAGTTTTGTCACAAGAACATGTCGACAACGACTTGCACTTACAAGATGCAATATCAAAAAAAACTTCACAGTCCTCTTTAAACTTCTGTAGTTTCTGTTTATAATTTTTGTTGTCTTTACTCTTTTGGTTGGATTTCAGAAGGGCGCGATGTTTGTCATGATAGGATCTTATTTTTGACACTATTGTTTTATGTTGTACTATTGGTAAAGAGTCTCGTTTCCAGATGTTTTCGATTTCGGTCGCAACAATATCACAAGAGGCCTGTAATAAATCTTGTCGTCCCTTTTCCGCACATCGTGCCACTGATACAAAGACATAATATTTCATCACATCACTGTAGGTTGGCAGCACATTTTTTGGTAATTCACAACCAGTACCGAAGATAGGCGACGAATAATTACTTCTTAAACTCATTATACTACTTTTTATGTTGTCTCATGTCAAATCTAGCTAAATGACTAATTACGCAGAGAACTATGCGACACAATTAACCCGCGTCCCGCACTCTCGCCTCTCCCCGTGGACTCCGGGCGGCGAAACGCTCGGCCAATGACCTTATATGGTAAAACATTGCGCGATTGGTAGATCAAAAATATGACGCCATAGGCAACACTGTGTAACTTTTTTGCAATTTATATCATAATTAAAGTAAAGTCACAGCCTATATACGTTCCACTACTGGGCTCAGGCCTCCCCTCATTTCTGAGAGGGTTGTAGGGCAAGGAAGTGTCCGCCGCGCTGCCCAAATGCGTGTTGACGAACTTCACATGTCTTCGAAATATTTTTTTTTTCTTATTCCTCAGACATGCCGGTTTCCTCACGATGTTTTCCTTCACCGCCGAGCACGTGGTAAATCAGCACTTAAAATTGCAATTAACAATTTCATTGGTGCCGGCGGGGATCGAACCCGGGTTACTCGCGTTCTGTTATATTTACAGCGAGCGTTAACCACTGAGCTACCACGGCTCATTTATATCATAGTGAGCATTTTTAAGAAAAACAATTTATTTAAAACCATTTTGCGTGTCAAGAAAGTATACCTTTTTTCGCACATTTCGAAAACTTTGCGAGCTATGCGGCAGTACTACTAATTATATTTTGTATAAATGATATTATACGAGAGGGTTATGTTAGTGTCACAGCACCTTTTGCGACATTCGCCACTTCAATATTCCACAAAAAAAATTACCCATACAAGTGCGCTCCACCCTACTATCTGTGTTTAATGGCTAGCCATGGTTTGATTCCAGCTATATCCATACCCACGAGAAACAACTCTTGTCTGGACCACATCTTCACTAATTCTACAAAACCAACAATCGGTATAGTCTGTGATTCTGCATTTACTGATCACAAATTAACAATAATAGGCTTAGGGTTGTCTAATAGAAAAGCGACTAAGATTAGCAGGGAAAGATTTATCACTGAATTTGATGGGGTTCTCGCGTATTTGAAAAACGAAGATTGGTCGTTAATTACCGGTGCAAGTGACGTTAATGATGCGGTGAATAACATTCGCATACAACCGAAGTCTCTACAGTGATCGAATCACTTAAGAACGATAGTGGCCCCGGTTTTGATAGCCCTTTATTAATAAAAACTATTAAAAACGTTATACTAGCGTCGTTGACGCACATTGGTTACGCGGAAACGATTCGTGTATTTTAATTTTATTCGAGGGTATATTGTGCCAAGTGTTTATCCTTCCTTTGACCTATTGTCCCTCCGTACATACTGAAGGGGGGGGTGAGAGGGTAAGAGGAGATTCTAGAAGGTGGCATGATTCTTTCGACCAATAAGAAGCGCGCCTGACCGAGATGCATTGATAGGAAAGCCGAAGCAATATAATCTCGCGCGCTGACCTCGAATGCTCTCTTGCCACGCGCCACTTGTCTGAACCGCACCACCTGGAGCAGTCGAGGTCCAGAAGTAACCGCCTCACGTAGTGTGAGATATCGTCGCGTATCGCTCTCTTCCTTCGCACGTCTGGCCTGGATCGCATCTCTGGGGCGCCCCAGAAGATCCACCTCACGTCGCATCACAGCAACGGAAGTGCCTAATACGCATCGAAGTCACACCCCGGTAAGTATCTTTTTTCCTATAATTCAATGCCTGCTTGAACATTTGTTTGTTAGCTAAGCCGCCCCATTTCATTTCTCCTAACGTGCTCAAGCAGGATTCCTTCATAACCTTGGCAATAGGGTCAAGGCTCGACCGGGGAATTGAACTCGGGAACCCTAAGCCCGCCCAACCATTTTTCTGGTCATTCGAGCGGAGTTGGAACTGGTGCTTTGTAGCCTCATCGAGTCGAACTGCTGGACTAATTCCTTAGACAATGCACTCTAATTTAATATTGGATAGGTTTATGTAGTTTTGTTTAGTTTAAATTTAAAATTAGGTTAGTTTATTCGCATAAGTAAATTGACTTATTTATTTAAATAGTTTGGATCCGCTTAATTTTATTTAGCCTATCCACTATTTGTAAAAAATAATACGAGTTTTTAAATTCTTATCAAGGCGACGCGCGTTATCTCGTTTGATTGCAAAGGTGTTCAATTTAACGAAGTAATACGGCACGATAAGACAATAGCGTGTTGTGTGTGTATCGCATTGTTTTCATCCTCCAGCGTTGTATGATTGTTTGCGATTAATCTAATACTAATTATAGTGATTTTAGATGGCAGTTAGTGGAAATGAAATTAAACTTAAAACTCTTTACGCCAAGAGGGACGCACTCTTTTCACGTATACAATATATAAGTGATCATATAAAAAATATCAACGTAGATTCAGTGCGGGAAATGTTTTTATGTGAAATCGAAACGGTGGACTCTTTGCGATCGGATTACGAAAATATATTAGACAAAATTAATAGTTTAGAATTACAAATCGACCCTAAGTATACAGTGAACTATCAACCAATTCTATCATTTGAAGATATGTTGTGTCGCGTAAAAAGAACGGCAAAGCTCTTACTGGAGCTCGCTTTCAGCTGGAACTGCCAGCCGAAAGCGAAGCAAAACCATGAATCCAGGTACGCCCACGTGAATCACTTAGATTGCCCCCCATAGGTATTCCGGTATTCAATGGAGATATTAAAACTTGGCCGTTGTTCTTTAATAGCTTTGAAAATACCATACATAATAATCCATCGTTATCGGACGCTGAAAGATTGTATTATTTATTTAGTAAATTGAGCGGTAGGGCACAGTCCATTTGTTCGGGCTTCACACCAACAGCAAACAATTATTCGTTAATATTTGAAACGCTTAAAAACAAATATGAAGATAAGCGAATGTTAGCCTCTTCGTATTTAGACCAGATATTCGATCTTAAAGCTATATCATCCGCGAACATCAGTGGCTTAGAGCAGTTTTTAGACAAATTTGTAGCATCGGTGGCTGCACTTAAGAACCTGAAATTTAATGACCTTATAGACGTGGTGTTTCTCCATATCGCCTTAAAGAAGCTAGACTCGGACACCGTGCGTGCGTTTGAAATGGAGCATCGTAGCTCTGAGTTGCCGTCATTCGACTCATTAGCATCCTTTGTACGAGATCAAATTAAAGTGATACAGCGCTCCTCGAATTTTTTTTTTCGGGTAGGTGTGAAAAAAGTAACAACTAAATTTTTTGCATCTCTGTAATTTTATTTATTTATTTTAGTTATTCGTTGTGTACAGTATTTAATATTTGTTAAGTATCAACTAAAATATCATATATGCAATAAATTAAATACCTGCCATAAGCTGCTACCACTTTTCTTACAAACTTCAAGTTGAGTACAATACTTAAAGAACATCTCAGTATGGAAAACATATTTGAAGTTCTTAAAACACAAGTATCACTGGAAAAGACATTTAATCAGAGGTTAGATGAGTTTGAAGCAAGACTAGAGGGGTCATCAAAGGACTTAAGCCTGAAGGACCTAAGTTCTGACTACATCAACTTCAAGAATTTTGTTTATTCAACATTTACATTAATGCGACAGCAAATTAACCATCTAATTGTTAATGTGGATGTCATTGAAAGTATACACAGAAAGAAGTTTCTCCTACTAGGAGGAGTGGTCGAGAATACCAATGAGAATGTTCGCGAATTGGTAGCTTCAGTCATCACGAAGAATCTTGGCATCAAAAATTGTTCTAGTCAGTCGCTGCAGGTATGTCATCGTCTTGGCACAATACCTAATGGTCTCCCTCGTCCGATTCTTATAAAATTTGAAGACACTCCATTACGTCAGGAGGTATGGGCCAAGAAAGCTTTGCTCAAGGGTAGCCCATATGTGTTGTCAGAATATCTAAAACGAATGAGGCAGTCTTTATTCTTAGAGGCCCGCAGGCACTTCGGCATTAGGAATGTGTGGACCTTGGACGGGGTGATCAATGTCAAGCTTCCTACTGGATCCCGTTCCAAAGTGTTCACAACAAATGATTTAGAGAAGCTGAAAACCAAACACAAAGCTGACGTAGAACGGGCTACCTCACTTCCAGCATCAGATGTTATTCCCAAAAAAGAAGGATCTAAATCCAGGAAAACAACTACTTCGAAGCGTATCAATAAGAAGTTGTGATTTATCGTAATTGTTTCCTAGTCCGTACATAATGGCATTGCACTTTACGATCAGCATCATTTCTACTGTATTTATAACTTTTTCTATTTCATTTTATGATTTCGGTGCTGACAGTAAGCTTTAATTTTACGTTCACCGTACGAAATATTATTGTAGTATTTGGTACGAAATAGACTAGGTAGGTAAACAATTTATCATAGCAATTTATGTTAAAGTCAAACGTCAATATCATTCAATTATTTTTATTAAGACATTGGCCTGGATTCTTGATTTTTAAGCCATGTCTTCATTTCATTTGTCATACAATTTCTGTATTTTAATTATTAGATTGTATTCAATTGTAGCGTTTTATTCTCAGTTAAATCTTTTCGTAATTATTAATATATTTTAAATTAAATGTACAATATACTTTTGTGCCTTGTATAAATGTAAAATAGTAAACGATCACGACCTTACTTATAATTGTTGTTTATCGCTTACTTAAGTTAGTCATTAACATTATAATATATGTCTTTCTATTGTCCTTTGTTGTATAGAAAATGAGCACAACATTAATTATCTTTTAATTTAACCAAGTGAAATTAAGTAAGACATCATTGCTATTTCATTGGACTGTTTAAAACATTTGTTCTAATCTTCTTTTTATATTTCATAATAGTTTCATTACTTTAATATTTATATTTATAAATATAGTATTTAATATATATATATATATATATATATATATATATATATATATATATATATATAATTTATTACATATATAGGTATACATATATATTATACAACATTATTTATTATTACATATACACTATATATTTATTTTTTACTATTATTAATAGT